TATTTTCTCAGTGCCGGAGAGCCTTTGTGGACACACAGACGTGTTTGTTTTCAACCACCTCTGTCTTCGGAGGGAGCCAGCTCTCTGGGTCTGTTTCTGAGCCTGCTGAAAAGAGGAAGCTGGGGAGGGGGTGGCTGGGTGGCTCAGTCAGTTAAGCATCTGCCTTCAGCTCAGGTCATGATCTTAAGGTCCTGCAGGGAGTCTGCTTGTCCCTCCCTCTCCCTCTGCCCCTCCCCTCTGCCCCCCCTTCAAATAAATAAGTAAAATAAAATAAAAAGAGGAAGCAGGTACTAACTTGAGTTTACTCCATTTGTGGCCTTGGGGGCTGGAATCTGTAACATAGCCCTGTAGTCCAGTCAATAGTACTTTCTTTCACGTGGAGATGATGGCCGCTGCTCGGTTGGGCCCCACAACCTGGCCACAGGGGATGGGAGAGCAATCTGTTAGCCAGTTTTGAGGGTGTTTCTTTAAGATGCCTCTGGTAACCGAAGCAAACTGCCCTCGGGGGGATTGGAGGTTAGAAATAACTGGAGAAAAAGGTATCGACTTCAGTTTTGTAGTAAGATAACCCAAGAACATGATTTTAAAAAATCAGAGGGTTCAAAGAGCTTAAGCAAAGAATCAACCTTTCTCCCATTATCTGGTCCCCTGATCCTGTCGTTTCCATGTCTGGAGGCAACCCCTGTTTCCTGTTGATTAAGACTTCTTCTTAGGCGCCTGGGTGCCTCAGTGGGTTAAAGCCTCTGCCTTCGGCTCAGGTCATGATCCCAGGGTCCTGGGATCGAGCCCCGCATTGGGGCTCTCTGCTCGGCGGGGAGCCTGCTTCCTCCTCTCTCTCTCTGCCTGCCTCTCTGCCTACTTGTGATCTCTATCAGATAAATAAATAAAATCTTAAAAAAAAAAAAGACTTCTTCTGGAGATCGTCTGTGTGGAACAAGTGTGAGAGTGTGAGCTGGGGAGTGGGGGTGTGTATTCACGCAGGAGCCTCGAGTAACAAACACATCGCACCTTGCTTCCCCCACCCCCCACTTAATGTATCCCAGAGATCACTTCCTATCAGTCAGTACATTTCGATCTTTCCATTCTTTTTTTAGGGCTTGCCTAGCGATGTATTACACAATGTACCATAATTTATTTAAGCAGCTCCCTCTCTGTGGATATTTAGGTCCTGAAGGTCACTAAAAGGTCCTCTAGAGCATTTGGTCTAATTATCTTGAGATACACGCACACGCAGACAGATTTAAAGAAGCCAGCAGGCTCTTAACCCTACATTTTGGATGTGTTTTTCTTGCTATTATTGTATTTTGATCACAGAAGACAGAAGAAGGTGGCTGTGCCTGTGAGTGTGTTTTGCACACGTGGGTGGATGTGTGAATGTGTGTGCCTACACAGGTAGGTGTACATTATGTTGTGTGACAGATGTACTCGAAAAACTCTGAATGAACCCTTTTATTTTTAAAACTGGAATATGAAATTTTAAATGCCCCGAGGGTGGGAAGATGATTTGTTATTAAAGGAAACTTGTAGAGGAATCCTTCTGTGAAATGAAATGATGGCTTCTTTTTTCCCTTTTAAAAAACTACTTCATTGAGGTATAATTTACATACAATAAAGTGCATTCATTTGAAGTGTTTGGGCTTGACAAGAGTTTGACAAAGGTTCTGTTTGAACCACCTGGGTGAAGACACAGAAAAGCTCCCCCAGGCCAAAAGCCGTCCTCCTTGCCTCTTTGCGTTTACCTCCCACCTTCAGCCCCCGGAGAGCTCGAATATGCTCTTTGTCACTCTGGATTGGTTTTGCCTGTTCTAGAACATCACAGAAGTGGAATCACACCTTATAGACTGTTACGTTTGGCTCCTTTCTCATAGCGTCCGTCTTGCTGCAGGTATCAGTGGTTCATGCTTGATGGCGGAGCTCAATTCTGTCATAGGCCGGCAGCAATGTTTGCTTTTTCCTTTACCTATTGTGAGGCACTTGGGTTGTTGCCCACATGTCGCCGTTCTGCATGAAGCTGCTGGAACAGTTGTGTACAGGTCACTGGCTTTGTGCCCTGCAGGGATGTACTCTAGAGCCTGCGTCCTGTCTTTGCACTGCCGGCCGCAGAAGGTGAGAGAGAGGCAGTCCTGTCTCTCCTTACTTTGTGAAAGCAAGTGCTGTGGGACAACTTGAAATATTCAACTACCTGGGGACCCTCTGCTTTCAAACGGTGCACCCTACCAACAGGGCTAGTAGCAAACTCCTCCTCAAATGAAGTCTTTAATCAGCTGCTAGCTTCAGAATCAGCACCCGAGACGTGGCCAGCACCGTGCCTCATCATTCTGGGTCTTCCAAAGCAGGGGTGGGGAGGCTGTCTGCTGCGTGAAGTTCTCTGGCTCTGTCTGGCGAGCCTTTTCCATGCCGGGCGCCTCTGGGGACTGCAGTGTGACCGTGGTTCCTCCAGGGGACGATGGCTAGCAAAAAGGGGTGTGGAGGACTTGAGAAGTGGAGTTTCTCTCCTGATGCCTCCCCCTCCACCTCCTCCTTCCTCGCTCCCCTCCCCTGCTCCAGTCAATTATCTAGGGCTTAATTGGTGCAAGACAGGCAGTGCAAGCCTTTCTCTGACCTCATCCTTTCTGGATTTATCCTCTGACCCACTCCGTACCTCTAGCTTCTCTCTAACCCCTGGGTGCCTGACAACAGAGGGGAAAGGAAGCGAAACTCAAATTGGGCATGTGTGACCTTTGTGGGCTCTTCCAAGGGAAGGTTTGTTTACCTAGAGGTCTCTGGTGGAAGTTGAGCCTATGGTGTGAAGGAAGCTTGGCTGTAAGTTTCTTAACCTCCTTTGCCTCGAGCTTGATCACCCCTGAAACACAGGAGCGCAGATATCTGCGTGTTCCGGTGGCGCAGCATCACTGGGATTTCCCACTGGACAGGTGAGGTGTGGGGGAGGACTGTTGACTGAGAGGCAGCAGGAACACGCAGAGAGCCAGAGATGCTGGCACTGGATTGTCCTAGAAGGCTTCCCAAGCTGGTGAGGGCTTGAGAGACCAGAGCTCTGACAGACTCCTCTGTCCCGTGTGACCTAGGGAGCCCTGAGTGGGAATCTGGCTTAAAGTTCTTGGAGCTCCAGTTTTTCCATCTGAAAAGTAGGGAGCACTGCTGGCCTCAACAGGAGATGAAATGAGTTAATGCACACTAAACACTGCGACCAGAGCCTGAGGTGTAGCAGGGGCTCAGACACTCGGCGGCCACCCCCGCTTCTCCTCCCCTCAGGAGTACCTCATGACCCTCTGATGACCGGGGCCATCGCCTGTTTTGCCCCTGGCTTCCCCATGGGCTGGGCTTGAAACCGTCACCGCAGTGCTTTATTTGATATTCCCAACTCTGTAAAGTTGTCCTGGAATAACGTGGAATAATATCAGTTCAGGGATAGAAAATGTCTTTTTTTGTTGGGGAAAAGCTTGACAGAGTGGAAGGAACATGGGACTAAATAGCACATTTGAAGACTTGGCTTTTTAAAAACAATGGGACCAGAAGTTAATGAAGGATTTTGTGCCTGGCATCATGGCTGAGCACTTGACATAGATTATCTCATTTAACATCACCACAGCCCAAAAGTCACAGGGCCTGTTATTAGCTCCATTTCACGGAGAAGCATTCTGAGGCTCAGAGAAGGTGGTCGCTTGCTTTAGGCCACAGAGCCAGGAAGTTTACCCATTACCACCACATACTGAGTGTCTCCTGAGGCCCAAGTGCTCTGCGTGGGAGTCTCATAGAATTTTTACAACAACCCATTTCACAGACGATGAGACTGAGGCCACACACAGCTCAGGGAAGGTAAATGATTGCCAGAGCTGGGATTCAGCGCCGGTCTGACTCTGAAGGCTTTGTTTGTCTTCCCCATTGTTCTACTGCCTTGCTCCTGGCCTCCGCTGGAGGGGGTAGCCAAAGACACTAAAGCGCTAAAGAACACCGAGAGATAATAGAGATAGTAGCTGGGAAGACTCATCAAGTAAAGGTAGGCGTTTCAAGGAGATTTGGTAAATAGGGTCGCATCTGGGATAATTTGGAGGGACCCTGAGTTCAGGAGAAAGAGCTCAGACCCAACCCTGGGAATGGCAGTGGGGAGGAGGCCTGCTTTTATGTAGTGCCAGCCGCCTGCTGCTGATGGCAATGGAAGGTTGTGCAGGCCTGGGCACCTACATTGCTTCCTTATCCAGGCCAGGTCACTGTGAGCAGAATTTGAGGTTCGATTAATTTGACCGTGAAGTTGTCCCCCCCTCCACCACGTTTTGTACCTGATAAGCCTCCAGTCATCTGCGTTGAAGTCTGACCTCCCTACATGGATTCTCAGCACTTCCTCACTGGTCCGGCTGGGGCTCCGCCAGCCCTCTGTGGCCATCTGCCCAGGCTGCAAAGCTCTTTGTTGCTTTTGGCAGGTTTAAAAGCTTAATTTCTATTTCTCTGTTTGGAAATGCAGTTCATCGGCATGGAGACAGCAGTGGGTGCTAAAATGGTTTCTGATGGCTATCTTGAACGTTAATATCCTAATACATTTTATCATCAATGACCTGTTCCCCCCTTGCCACAAGTTCTCACTCCCCTTTTGCAAAGAGAGGCTGGCCTTCAGAAAGGCCTCCCAGCCCATCTCATTCCTTTGCTCTCCGCCTCCCCGCTTTTCATAGATAGCATTGTACTTTGCCAATGAAGCCCATAGTCGTGGGAAATCTCTGAGTTGGAGGATATGAGAAATTGTTTCATTTAGCCGGCAGGGTTTAATAGAGATGATCTAATCTCTAAAAGGCATACATTATTTAAATTCCATGCTCTCGGACAAGAGGACCCCTGATATTTGTGGCAGGGACAGGATTTTGGTTTGGCTCTGTTCAGTGGAGCTGACTGTTGGTTTTCCTGTTTGTAATTTAGTGCGGGGGCTGGGTTATGCTTGTGGCAGTGGGAGGGGGTGGGGTTTCCTAGCGGTAAGGGTGCCAGAGAACATTTTCTTTAGACAGAAACTTAAAATCGTAGATTCTTGGGGTGGAAGGGATGGGGAGATGTGGAAAGTCATTGCGTGGTATCATCACCAGCTTGCTATTGGGTTCCTGTTGGGTCCCCACTAAGGTGAGTGGCCCCTGGGGGGCAAGCTGAGAACTCTCTGCAGGGTCTCCTGGGTGGCTCAGTCGGTTAAGCAGCTGACTCTTGATTTCCACTCAGGTCATGATCTCAGGGTCCTGCGATCAAGCCCCATGTGGGGCTCCATGCTGGGCGTGGAGCCTGCTTAGGATTCTGTCTCTCCCTCTTCCTCTGTCTCTTGACTCCCCTCCCCTGTGCCCACATATGCTCTCTTTCTCAAAAAAAAAAAAAAAAAAAAAAAAAGAGTCTCTCTCTCCCTCTTTCCCTCTCCTCCACCCCCTCCCCCAAAGAACTCTGATTTCCCTCACTCCCTGCCCTGACGGACCACCTGCAATATCACTGGGGGCCTCTCTGTGAGCGCTGAAGACCTCTATTGACAGAACTAAAATTTTAAGAGAAATCTTACACACTCTCAATCACTAAAGACCAGGTCTGGAAATAAAGTGGGGCTCGTGAATATCTCAGGGAACCCGGACTGTGAGTGGCATGAGATGCCGGGAGGGACCTGGAGAATATCAGTCCCAAGGGAGTTTTTACCTCACCGGGAGTATGTCATGATCCTGAGAGAGCTACGTCTTGTTCCCCTCCCATGTCGTTTGACTGTCATGTTAGTACAGATCACAAGCCTGCCTGCCTTCCTGGGGATGGGGCTTTGTAGGGGCAAATGACCCCAGAGCAGGCTCTCAGAGTTCCGAACATAAAGTCTCTTCCCCTCCCCAAAGGCTTGTTGGGTGTCTCCTAATAGAGAGTGAGGTGAGCACTAGGTATACAAATGTGATTCTCATCGTCTCTGCCTCACAGAGGAGACCGACACATGGACAATGTACCCTGGTGTATTAGGAGCCAGGGTTCTGCTAGGCATGTGTATCACAAGAGCACAAGGAAAGGGGTAATTAATTCTGACTGCGAGTATCTAAAACAGCTTCAGAGAGGAGGAGATCCTTGACCTCAACCTTGAATGAGAAGGAGGTATTCAGACTAACCCTTTCTCGGTAGTGCTTGCTGAGTGTGTGCCTGCTCGTTGCTGGGGACAATGAAAACGATAAGGAGGGGAGGTGGTTCCTGCCCCCAAGAAATCCACAGCTTGCCGGGAGACAAGCCTGGCACGTATGAGTCAATTACAGCTCTGCATAGACAGATGGAAGCATGGAGGCGAGGATAGGCTACCCCAGGGTACTTGGTGATCTAGGGTTTCCAGAGTTAATACTCTCTCAGGGAGCACACAGTTTCTGGAAGGAGAGTTCCGACCTCACCAAAGATGTCAGCTCTAAGAGGCCCAGCCATTCTGACTTTTCCGATCAGCCTGGTTCTGTACAGAAGTAGCTAGTTGGATTTGGAGGCAGGCTGGCAGCAAGTGAGGGTGGGCGGAGAAGGTTGATGGTAAGAATTTAGTGGTGTTGGCTCACTCTTTGCAACCCTGGTAGGATCTGGGGTTTGCAAAATGTGCCAACACACAACCCGAGTACGGATGCCCCTCAGGGTCCTGCGAGCACTGTGTACGTTCCCAGCCTTGGCTTATGCGATTTCTTCCACCTTGAGTGACTCCCTTTTCTTGTCTTCATGAAGTCTTCCGAGGCCGCTCTTCTACACTGATTTCAGACTCGCTGGATACTTGATCTGCGATCCTCTCTTGTTCCTCATTAAGCTGGGGTCAGCATTGTTCTCTGTTTTTTTTTGTTTTGGTTTTTTTTTACGATTTTATTTATTTATTTATTTGTCAGAGAGAGAGAATGAGAGAGCGTGCACACACATAAGCAGGCAGAGTGGCAGGCAGAGGCCAAGAGAGGCAGGCTCCCTGCAGAGCAAGGAGCCCGATGCTGGGAGTTGATCCTAGGACCCTGGGGTCATGGCCTGAGCTGAAGGCAGCGGCTTAACTGACTGCTCCACCCCGGCGTCCCTGTTCTCTGGTTTTAACTCCCCCATGAGACTGTAGACACCTTCAGAGTGTGAATAGCATCACATGCTTTTCTTTCCTCCCCTTTTCTTTCCTCTCTGTGAGCAGTTTGTGTAGTCTAAGGAGCGTGGGTTTCTTTAGACAGTCTTATCATTGAATCTCAGCATTGCCACTTACCCTAAAACTTTGAGCTCAGCTTCCTTATCAGGAAAATGGCGTAACCCAGGGTTTCTCAACATTGACACTGTTGGCATTCTGGGGCTGGGTAATGAATGTTTCATTGTGGGGACCATCATGTCTGCTGTAGGATATTTAGCAGAATCCCTAGCTTCCACCCATGGATGCCAGTGGCAGCCTTCCCTTTCCAGTCATGACAGTCGAAAACACCTCTAGAAGGTTTTGTGTCCCAGAAAGGTTCCCATAGATTCCCATTGTCCACATGTCCATGTGTCAAGTGTCTCCTGTGCCAGGTTTCCCTCACTGTTGAGAACCACTGGGATGACACTACCTATTGGGTCTGTATGAGACCTCCTTGTGCTGCTTCCAGAATATAGCAGAGATTCCATAAATGCCCATTCACCTGCATTCCTGGTTCCCGCCCGGCACTAGACACACTACAGGGGGATGAACTGAATGGAGCCGTGACTCTAGGGGCCAGCCATTTGGGGTAGAAAAGGCATGGAACTCTTCGGCTGCCCCCACAATGCACTAACCAAGCCACTGTCATTTTCTTAATTGCAGATTGATCTGGAGCCAGAAGGAAGAGTGTATGTGATCATTGATCTGTCGGGGTCGTCGGGTGAAGGTAGGAGAATGTGACCTCTCCTTGTTGTTCTCTTCCATTGACCCTTTGTCTTCGGGTGTCTCCCTTCCCTCCTCGGCTGGGAGGTATTACAGCAACATTTAATTAATTGGCACACTTAAAAGGAAAAGGTTATTTTGAAGATGCTTACGCCTGTGTACCAAAAGGGACCAGCCATCTGTTAATTTCAGTGGAGCAGAGGGAAGATTCTTGACTTATCAAGTGAGGCCAATAAAGCAGGCCTTCTTGCATGATAGTGTACAAGGCAGGCTTGGGTGGAGCGGCAGCCTCTCCCCGGAGGCTCGCGTGGGGTGTGTGTGAGTGTCATGGGAAGGAAGTAAAACCAGTTGGTCTAACGGTATTCAGAAATGAAACAAATAAGGTGTCCAATTTCAGAATCTTATTTTTTTGAGCTTTTATAGAAGTGTTACTTCTTTTTACAGTTTCCCACGCAGGCAAAAGCCCTGCTTTTAGAGAGAAATAATGGGGTGAGGGAATGTCTGCTCCCCACTGGCCAATGAGACAGGGTGTAGATGTTGTCCACTGGTCAGATTTTCCTTCTTTCTTCTCCTTGCATCCTCTTCTCTCGATCCTGTCTTGGTACACTTAACATCTTCAAAGGCTTTATGGGCAGTGAGGACTGAGAGGACTGAGCAGTCAGAAGGGGAAGGGATTCTGGACAGTAAAACCTTGTCCACACAGAACAGGGAGATGGTGGCAGATGTGGGCTTTAGGGAGGCTGGGAATTAGGATGGAGATTTAGTGGGGACCATCTTTCTCTGTATGCAGGAGGACAGGACAATTGGCTTTAATGTTATGGCAGAAAGATGGGAAGACCAAGGCTGGTTCCTCTTGGCAATGAGAAAAAATGGGAGTTAGGGGCTGTGGCAGTCTTTAGGGAAAGACAGTCAGCTCCCTTAGCTCCTGGTTGGAAGACTAGGGCCTTTTCCCTCATCTCTTCTTTTTTTTTTTTTTTTTTAAAGATTTTTATTTGTTTATTTGACAGACAGAGATCACAAGTAGGCAGAGAGACAGGCAGAGAGTGAGAGGGGGAAGCAGGCTCCCCACTGAGCAGGGAGCCTGATGTGGGGCTCGATCCTAGGACCCCGGGATCATGACCCGAGCTGAAGGCAGAGCATTTAACCCACTGAGCCACCCAGGCGCCCCATTCCCTCATCTCTTCTAAATGCTGGAGATCACAAGGACAGAGTCACAACACCACATGGTTCCCCAGGATTAGGGATGAAACTCTAGTCTACATTTCAGTAAAGGGAGGAGAGATTATGTCCACATATCAGAGGAGTGGGTCAAACCGTGTGCTTAACTGGGTGCCTGATGATTTTCATTTGGCTAATACATCACGCAATTCAATTTCAACAGGTGTTCAGAATAATTCAATAATTGTGTGTATATGGGGCTTATAATAGAATCCAGTTCTCTTTGAATAGATCTCAATTATTTGGCATAGGTTTAAAACTTTAAACATCCTTCCAAAATTGGTCTTGTACATTTTCTTCTCTTTATCGCAATTACGTTTTGACGTTTCCAGCTTTCTTTCTCTACCCTCAGCTCTGAACAGCCCAGAATAGAATCTGTTGTAGAAGATTCAGGGATTTAGCAATATTTAGTATGAAATATTTAAGATGTGCCAAAGGTCCTAAAGGAAAATAAAATGAGCACCAGTGTACCCACCACCCTGATTAAGAAATAAAGCAGCCATTAAGGTGAAACCTTGCATTGCTTTTAACAAAGCATGCGATCCCAAATTCACCAGACTTGAAAGTATTACAGCAGCCTCCTGATTATAGATATTGGTGAAACATTCAATGAGTGGAATCGGTCCCCCTTTTTCCTTACATAATCTATATGCAACAGAATAATTAATTAAATATGCATTTCCTGTGCCAAGATGCTGGGCAACCAATAGGAGGCTTTAATTATTTTTTTTTCTTTGAAAAGATTAACAACCTGGGAAATTACAGCGGACATCCTTTTTTACATTAGAGAGAAAGGATGTGGACGAATGAGTGAATAAATAAATCAGAAGCAATTGATTTTTTTCCTCTTTGCTTCTATGGCTTATTGCATGTGAATGGCCAAAGCAATTTTCACTGGGCTGAATTCTTAGTGTCTTTTTTTTTTTTTTTTATCTCTTTCATCTAGAGAAAATAGAGTTTACTTCAGAAATGCTGACACATGCCACACTCTGGAAAGTTCTAGCATGTGTTGCTCTGAAGAAAAGGAGAACTTTTTTGCCCTTTCTTTCTTACTCTTCCTGGATTTGGGATTCTTTCTCTGGATGGTGGGAAGGACTTGCAGCAACCTTTTCGAAGGAGCTGATCTTCCTGGTTTCTGTTTGCGTTCTGTACATCGGTTCGCCCCGTCCTGCTGATCAGATTTTGAGGGCTCCTGACCCAGGGGTTTTTGGAAGGGTTGGGAGGAGAGGAGAGGAGCCAAGGGTGAGTGAACACAATATTTGTTACCTGGACTGCATGGGAAGGATCCAGTGCAAAACCCAGTTGTCCAAGCTAGACTGTGGACTGTGGATTCTTTACCTAAGTCCCTTTCTTTAGTGAAAATACTTAACTCTGTATTCTGCAAAAGGTTGTGAAGAGAGTGGGAGTGAGGCAGGCTGATCCGTTCACTCTATCATTCTGCTGTCACGCATCCCTGCAGCTCCCCTGTCTCAAATGCTCTGGTCCCATCAATGGAAGAAAAGACATATATCATAGAAATCACACACACTTAGAAACACAGGCAAACAATGAGGAGCCCAGAGAAAGGTGTGAGCTGAAGATCCAGTTCCAAGATGGGCCAAAGGTTTCTTTTTCTTGCTAACACACTGTGGAATGCCTTGGACATTTGTGTCTGCTAGAGCTGGGGCTAATGTGATTTCTAGCTGTCTAATAAAATTCCACTGCTCGCTTGTCCTGTGCAGCTCACCATAATGGGATTTGACTGCTGTGTGCTTTTGCTAAACCAGGCAACCTAACCCCAGATGTAAGGGGTCAGGCTCGATGACAGCTAAGGCCATTTCCGGTCATGCAGTTTTGATCTCTGGTCTAATCTGAATAGCAATCAGAGCTCAAGGCTGAAGGCTGGCTAATGTCTCTAGCAGGTAGAAGGGGTGGAAAGAAAAGGGCTCTTTCTGACAGGTACTACACCAGGTGCCTTACCTACATTATCTCAAATAGCAAACCTTCCTGGAATGCTGGAGCGTGATCCTCCAGTCTTGGGTGCCTCTTAGTGTTTGCTTTTATCATAAGCAATAGCCACGCGGTTTCCTGGTAAACGTGGCGCTCCAGGCTCACCAGATACTTAAGTCAGAGCATAATTCGCCCAGGTGACGGACACATAAACAGCAATGTAGTTCTTAAGCGTGTCAGCTGTTGTTTCCTGCAGCGCACATTAGTTAACATTCCTTCCTTTGTTTTGATGCAATTTGAACATTATTTTTATTCTTTTTTAATAACATGACAATGCACCATTATTTGGAGGCTCCCAGAGGAGGGGCCGTCAGGGTCTGACCCAGGGATTTCTAAGCTCTTTTCCTGCCTTCCATCCTGATTAAGTGTTCACCCAGGAGAGTTTTTCAGAGTCTGAAGTGCAACAGAGAGAACCGGAGTGGGTCTCACTGATAATGTTTGGAGGGCCAAACCGTGTCTCCAATAAAATGCAGAAGATGCAAAGTAGTTTGAAGGATGTTTTGCAACACAGATCACAAATAAGACAGTTAAATTGGGGCTCAGGGTTCGGAGTGGTTTCAGAAGCAGACGACAAACAGAAGCCATATGCTTCTTTCTGCAGCCACATGCTGCGGACACCGCACCCCTCAGTCTCCTACCTGGGCCTCCCGCCCTGGGCAGATAGGGCAGGAAGAGCACAGTCCTAGGAGTTCTGCAGTCCTGGCCTTCAGTCCCAGCTCTAACGCTTGCTAGTTCAGAGGTTCAGATTTCTCACCGGGTCAGGATCACTATGGCATCTCTGGTAGGGACCGTGCGTGGTCAGATTGCTAAAAAGAACAGTGCCCTTGAATACAGGTGATGCTCAGTAGATCTCCTATGGCCTGGAGACCTGAGGGCTGCTGGTGAAGGAACAGTAGGCAAGGCTTTCCGGGAAGCAGTTTGAGGGCAATTTCTGACTCTGAGGCATATTAAAAACGATGGAAGGACAGAGCAAGGTGACGGAGAGGCAGTTTATAGAATAATATCTCTATCTGGCAGGGCTATAAGATTGCTTTCTACAGAGTTCACACCTTGCCATAGTTTGGCCCCACTTTCTTTCTCTTTCTTCCCCACCCTTCCCCCAGTGAACTGTTTTCTAGAAGGACAGTCTCTATCTTGTTTGTATCCTGTGGCCCTTAATGCCAGAAACTTCTCTTTGTGGGAGCCTGGGTCTGCTCTCTCTGCTCAGTGCAGACTGAGAGCATGTGGGGCCCACACTCTGACTGGCCCTTGGCTCAAAGCCCTTCATATACTTGAAGACAGTTACTAGTCTCTCCTCTTCAGGTTTGAATTGTTCAAATCCCTTTTCCTTTCTGAAGGGGTAGTTTAGAAATTTAACTCATCTTTGCAGCTTTTTTCTGGACTTTTTTTCAAGTTGCGTAGGCAGGCAGACAAACACGATCAAACTTGCTTGGGTTTGCTCTGAAATGGTAACATGGGTGGACCAAGTGCCTGATAGTATTACCTGTGTGTGGGAGATAGTCACATTGAGAGGTCAAGTGATGTGCCCAAGGTCAAAAGGTTGACTTCCTACCTTTTGGGTCTAGACCTCCAGGGGACGATCCAGTGCCCTGGTTTAAATCATGGCCCGAGTAGTGCGACTTCCTTACCTCCCTGTTTATTTTAGTTCTTTTCTTCAGATAGCCACCCCCGCCCCCTGCTTTTTTTTACAGTGATGTGGAGCTTTTTTTATAGTGATGTGGAAGTTCTTAGCTTTGAATCCAGAAGTGACCCAGAGGGTCCCTTTCATAAATAAGTACATTTCTTTTCCATTCTCTT